CCCTGGGGGCCCGCCCCACCCCCGTCCCCAAGCACCCGGTCCCCAAAACACAGCCAGGAATGGGAGAGGAGCAGCACACGTCAATGCCACCGGGCACACGGTGCTCCATCCCTGACCTGAGCCACCTCCTCCCCTAAACCAGCCCCAGAAACCCGCCTGAGAAGTGAAAAGCCCCCATCAGAAGGCAAAGCAAGTGGCAGCACCAGTAGGAAAGGCAGTTGCCAGCGGAGCAAGCAATGGGCTTTCCCAATCTCCAGGCTCAGCATCTTCAAACCTGCCAGCTCCAAGTGACTGATGCTGTCCCACAAAGCCCAGACTTCAAAAAGCATCATCTTATCACTGCCAACCCAGACATCGCACCGGCTGCCTGCTCCTTCCCAGTCACCCTGAGCACAACCAGGTTCATGCAGCTGCGGGTACTTTCCAGTTCAACACTAAACTGAATTTGAGTAGTTCATGCCCACATGGGGCAGAGGGCTCTGGCTGCATTAAACCTGTCCTGTGCACCAGAGCCCATTTCTGAGTGAAAACCTGAGCTGCCCAAGCGCTGCTCCTGCCCTGCACTGTAGTAGCTGCACGCAAGAAATGTGCCAAAACGGGCTATAATCTGATTTACTACAATATTTACTTCTGAAAGCAAGATAGTTCTTCGTCTCTTCAACGTCGAGTGCTGCAAAGGGCATTGTGCCATGTCAAACCTCAGCTCCCTTGGAAATCATGGGTGACAAACTAAAGTCAAGTTATAAACCTGCCCTGACGCAGCTGAGCTGGTGCCCCTGTACCAGTGTCCACAGCCCGGGCTGGGCCAGGGAATGAACCCACAGATGCTGTGACAGAGCATTAACACCACAGCAAGAGCATCACCGCCTCCATCACACCATTCACTGGGATCATAAACCAGCACCTTTGGCTCCAGGGATTCCAGTCTGGTGATGCCAGCAGCATGGACGCGGCTTGACCTGTGGTGGCATGAGCCAACCCGAGGGTCTTCCTGGCCCCGGCTGCCCAACAAACAGCTCCGTGTCCCCCCGTCTGGTCCCTCTGAGAAGCACCCAGCACCACGAGTGCCACCACCCCTGGTGAACGCCCCAGGCGGCTCACCCAGGCTGTGTGAGCCTGCACGGCAGCGGCGCCTGGCCTGGGTGCAGGCTGACACCCCTCCTGCCTGCCCGCGGGGTCCCACTGTGCTCCACACACCACCCAGCCCGCAGCGGGGCCGCACAGAGCAGGGAGCACCAGACAAAGGCAGCCCCCGGTGCCGGAGGGGACAGGACAAAGGCAACGCCGGCTCCTCTCCGTGTCCCCGCACCATGGGCAGCCCTGCAGAGCCTCAGGCTGGGGGCTCCAGCATGAAGCTCTGCCACAGATCACCCTGCTGAAAGAGCAGCGCTTCTCTGCCCGATTTGGCTTCTTTTTAGTGCCTGCCATCTTAATAACTTGTCTGGTTTGTTCTTCCTGGGGTTAAGAGAGAGGCTGCAGAAGTGTTTAGAGATAAACCATACGTGCCGTGTCTCCAGGCAAGGTGCTTCTCCCAGCTTTGTTTCTTGGTATAATCCCATCCCAGAAACAGGCACATGCAATTTCATGTTTCCTGAAGATAAAGACATCCAACAGACGGAACAGCTTCGGGGGTTTTGCAGGGTTTAGCACAGGAAGACAACGGTTAAGATTCACAGCGTTTAGGAAGTTGTGAGGGATAAAGAACACTAAAAGTTGGGGCGAAAATGAGTTTAGTTTTTAAAAGCACCGCACACATGTGCTTCCCTGAGCGGAACCTGTGGGTCAGAACATGTCCCACGCTCCCCCACCGCCTTTCCAGGCATCCTCAGGTTGGGCACATCCAGGCTCATGCTGGATTTCTGCTTTATCAACCTGACGTGTCACAGCCTAGAGACAGCAGAGCTCGTACACAAGGCTCAGCCCCGTACTTGGGGTCATCGGCAGGCAAAGGGATGCTAAAGCAGGTTGGGATCTGTGGTAGCACGGGGTAACGCAGGGAAAACATCTCCCCTGGATGCAGGGGGACACAGGTGGGAGCAGACATCCCCCAGCCAGATTTGGGGAGGGAAGGGGAAACCCCCAAGAGTGCAGCGTCCCTGCTCCCAGCACAACCCCCATCAGCCAGGGGATCCCCGCACCATCAGCGGGACTGAAACCCATCCCCATCCCCATCCCATCCAAGATACTGGTTTAGAGCACCTTCACAGAATTAGTTAAGGCTGGCAGGAGGGTACAGGCAGCGTTATCTTCATCGCCCCGAGGCAGCAGCCCCACTATCGCCCTAAGGCACCAGCAAAGCCCATGACACCAAATCACAGCTTCCCAAGGCCAATAAATCAGCCCGAAACACAAAGCGC